CTTATGTCAGATTTGATATCATTGACCAAAATATCTCACAACAGAAGACTGGATGTTTTTATTACTCAGTGGTATACTTTTTTAATGACTCAAGGCAAAAAAAAAAAAAAATTAATCAGCACTCAAAAATAACAATGAAAAAAATATTCCATATTAAGTAGCATCCCTGTAGTATTAAGAGGTGGCAATACGCCATTTAAGCATTATATGCTCACCTTTTAAAAAACACAATACAACTAACAACAATGTATTCTAATGATATATATATATATATGAAATTCTATTGATCTTAAATAAACATTCCTGATACCTTATGGGTATGCCCGTGAAACTCAGAGTTGGGGGTTCATACAGGCCTTTTGTTTATATATATATTTAAATTGTTCCGCATACTTGAGCACTCTGTTAACTACACCCACGCTTTATATATGGAATTATTCAGGACCAAGTGGCCCTCGAGGTACAGGAGGGCCACCGGGTACAGCAAGTGGACCACCAGGCACAGGAGGGCCACCGGGTACAGGCGGTCCACCTGGAAGTGGTTCTCCAGGAACAGGTGGCCCTCCAGGTATGAATGGACCTCCAGGTATGAATGGACCTCCAGGTACAGGAGGGCCCCCGGGTACAGCAAGTGGACCACCAGGCACAGTAGGGCCACCGGGCACAAGTGGACCACCAGCTACAGGCGGCCCCCCAGGCACTGGCAGTGGACAGGGCACTGGTGGACCTCCGGGAACAGGTGCTCCTCCAGGAACCAATGGTCAATCAGGTACAGGCGGACCGCCAGGAACGGGTGGTCCACCAGGTTCAGGAGGACCCCCTGGGACGAGTGGTCCACAAGAAACAAGCGGTCCCCCTGGTTTTGAAGGCCCTCCAGGGACAGGAGGCTCCACAGCAACAGCAGGACCTCCAGGAACTGGCGGGCCACCAGGGACCAGTGGACACCCAGGCACAGGAGGGCCACCGGGAACGGGCGGGCCACCAGGTAGTGGAGGAATGGAGGGCACTAGTGGTCCTCCAGGCACAGGAGGACCGCCAGGCACAGGAGGGCCGCCAGGAGCAGTTGGTCACCCAGGAACAGGTGGCCCTCCTGGCACAGATGGGCCTTCAGGCACGGGAGGACCGCCTGGTCTAGATGGACCTTCTGGCACATCCGGGCCTCCCGGGACTAGAGGGCCTGCAAGGACTGGTGGACCTCCAGGGACTGGTGGTCCTCCAGGAAGGGAAGGACCACGTGGTTATGGTGCCCCACCTGGCACCAATGGGCCTTTGGGAACAGGCGGACCACCAGGTACAGGGGGACTTTTTGGATTAAACGGGACAGGCGGTCCGCCAGGAATTGCCGGACAGAAAGGTTGGTACTAGACATGTATTTATTATCTGTGCATGTACATTATATGCTTTAACCCACCTATTCATTCATTGTTACCAAGGTATACTTCATATTAAGACATCTGTCTTCGTTTTAAATACACGAAGGCCTTATAATTTTAATATAACGCTCCAAAATATTGACGTTTTACAGACTTGTCAGGAATTTTGGTAAACAAGGCGAAACGGAACCAGAGTCAAGGCAATGGAACACAGTTTGACCAATATTAATAAAAACTCCTTTAACTGTGCAAACTTCATGATGACCGAGCAAAAATTCTACATACACATAGCTTAATTATGTGTAATTCATTTTTATCAAAAAAAGATGTCGGTAGGCTTTCTTATAAAATTTAAATGAAATACATACAACTCATCATTACTATTTTTATTAAGTAACCCTTACGAAGAAGACCACTTTCATAATATAGGATCCTATATGATCTTATAAGATCCTACTGTATAACATTTTTCGTTAGGAAAGTACCGGTATTTATATTCTATTTTTTTTATATTACTTTAAGGGTGTTTATCACTTCTTTTTTACAGGCGCAAGTGGTACACAAGGACCACCTGGCGACGTTAAAGGACAAAAAGGAGACAAAGGAACGCAAGGATTCCAAGGAAACTTTGGCAACAAGGGCGAGGCTGGTATAGTTGGTATGAAGGGGGAAAAAGGGAATAAAGGATTACCCGCCAGAGGAATGAAAGGACAGAAAGGTGACTCCATGGTTATGATTCGGATGCGGCAGCAAACTACAGTCGCTCAAACTACCTTCACTAATGGTGCTGTCTTCATCGGAACGGCGTCCACAGGATTTAGAACCCATGCTGGAGTCACCGGTGCCGTTTTGCCTTCGGATACTTTCGTTAGCTTGTTGGGATCTATTGGAATGGAAACAGTCGGTATGATCTACGATTTTATTTACCGATTCATTCAATCATGTATGTTTTGTCTATTAATTGCAATTGCGGTACTTCATAAAAGATACGTTTGATGTCTTAATGGTTTATGATAAAGCCAATACTGAAGACTTTACAATAACCTTTACGTTAGCTATCAGTTCAAATGGTTTACAAAGGAATAAAAGAAGAAAATTTTGTTTTGCTTTATGAATTCCGGATTGAATGCTATTTTCATTTATTCCTTTTATTTCATGCAGAATCTGATGGAGCGATATTGGAAGAAAAGCTGTATGCAGCAGAATTCCGAATGGTAATACTTGGAACGATAATATCCCTCGTGGCCGTTGGCACTGGAGCCATCTACGTGGTATATTTTCGCCAGCGACGCAGAGAGAAACTCCTTATAGCTGCTATTAGACGAAGATTATCCACCGTTTGATGCCAGTTTAATACTGGACGTTGTTGGACTGTGGCAAACTTAGAAGCTAAAGACGTGTTCGAGGGTGTTTTTTCTCCAGCAAAATTATCGATCCCTCAGAGGCTTGATTTTAGTATCTTATAAAGGACGAACTTTTCTGAGAATGGTGTAAATCCCTCACTCATTAAATGATAACTGTTCTTTGATTTTTTCCTTCTTCTGCTTAAGGATATATATTTAAAAAATAAGTAAACTATTCATTTGCTGCTGGGACAATATTTGGTGGTTTCTTTTCAATTTAATGGGCATTTCTTTATCTCTGTGGAAATGACAGCGAAACGTCGGATTTGAGGGTACATTTAATAAATGTAATTAAATGGTATTAAATATTGATATCTTCACCGCTAGTTTGTATTTTCTTTTCCACTAATCAGGTTAGTTATGGTGTCTGGAATGAAAATCACCATCCATAGCAATGAACTCAAATGATGTGATCATTTATAAAGAAAAGCACATGAAACTCGGGCTGGGACAACCTTTTTGACCAATGCTGTATATTATCAATACACTCTCCGGTAATCAACGCTACACCAGAAATCAAAAATGGCCGCGTGCCTGATATACATACAGATAAGATGCCATACGCCTTACCTCTCATGTTGGGCTCCAATACACCCAATAACTGATCGCCAATCTTATAACATGTGCAGGAGCCGTCATATACATCGTTGTGATCGCCACGTTAGGGCATTATGGAGTCATGAGGGGGCATTTAACACGTTAGTTAAGGCCCTCCTTAGATCCAGTTATTTGTATACTGTATGCATATTGACTATAAAGTACCTCTGTCATTTTAAATTAATTCCTATCAACAGCAATAAACGCCAGAGTAAAACGTTAAATTAATTTGAGTTTCTTGTCTTTTACCTTTGATAAAACGAGATCAGGCGATTTTACAACTCGTGTCCACTCTTAACGATAAGAAAAGACAAATATTTTTATCGGTCATTTAACATATGAAATATAGGATATCAAAAAATTCAACGACTTGCTTTCGTATAGACTTTATTAAACACATGAACATGTCTGAAAAGAAAAAAAATATATAACATCATCATATTGAGTTTTCATTCTTATACATACTAGTTCCAGTGAATTAAACGGATTTCATGAAATCATACAGGCAAACATGGACAAAATTTGGGGATCTTACTATTAACTTACAAACTAACTTTACTTGTCATATTAGACATACAGCCCTAAATGAACTTTCAAACTATAAACTTGATATTTAATCAATTAATTTTATACCTACACGACGTTGTGAATTCTACGATGCGTGCTACCATCTCGGTTCTTTGTCTCTTTAACGTGAATGATTGTGTTGGCTGAGATGCACTGGTGGCGAATTCTAGCTGCAACAGAGGGACTCTCTGTCACGCTACACTGGCCTTTGCTAAGTTGACTCAGCCGGTGACAGTAAAGTAGGAAGTAAACCTGGTTCTTATACATGTATACCATACGCATTACATTTAGCTTACGTACTTTTTGGTCAACCCCTCTTAACAGAAAGCCGCTTCATTCCCTGATAGTCTCCCGCCTCCACACGCGCCATTAAATGGGTTAAATCTAAGCTTCTAAGTATAAGTGCCAGGCCCCTCCAGCGACTGCGCGTGTGGAGGCGGGGAGACCATCAGGGAATCAGTCGGTATTGCTCGGTAGTGCATCGGCCATATTTGATCAGCGGATCTCCTAGTCCGAGGATCATCTGTTCTGAATGCGCTCTTTCAGTGTCAGGCCACGTGGTCTCAACTGCTTTGATGTTTCAAGAAAATGGACACAATGTACCGCATCTGAAGAGCCACTTTATCTCCGGGTAGGGTCAAACTCACGAGGTGGACACTGTTACCCAGAGACCTACAGGTTGGTGTGATTAAACCTAACAAATAGTGGAAGTTGGATTCAAGTAACCCTTGATACGACGTGTGCAGGTGGGTTGGTACATAAAAGTCTCATTCCAAATGAGGCTGTCGTTCTACTTAGATCAATCTAACTCCGAAGGCATCCTCGTTGGATGCAATTAACAAATCACGATGAACAGATGAACACGCCTCCTCCTGGAGTTGAGTGGAATACAGTAATGCTGGCTATTAAACGAGTATGTCTGAAATAAGAGGATGTGTTCTAATCTGATTGCATTCAGCGAGAGTGCTCGCGGAGTTGAATCGATCTACGTAGAGCAATAGTCTCATTGGAAATGAGTCCACCCGGATCAGATTGCTATATATACCAGTGGCTAAGTCATTTTACAAGTTGCACCGTCGGAGAAGCAGGTAAGAAGGCGTGAGATGTTCCTGTAAAGAAAAATGCTGATAAAAGCCTCAAAGCGTTTGACTCATGAATGTGCGTTTAACTATCCAAGTGACGCTTGGAGTGGAAAAGATTTACGCTTTATTCTATGGATTATGTCAGTAAGACTATTTTCAATGACTACGTACATACCGGTACATCAGTTTTTTGTAGTTGTTACCAGAGTGAGGAGGAAGCGCGGGGCAGATAATTGAAAGTTGAGTATTCTGTAATATAGTCGACAAAATTGCCTTTCGTCTGTATTTAGGTTATGTGACCATTTTGTCTGTTTGCTTACTGGCATAAACTACCTCAATGTGGTGGCGTTTTAATGCGTAATATGTCAGCATGTATCCGGCCAAAATAACCTTTTGAGTATCTCAACCGTTTTCAATGCGCCATGTTCCTTTTAAAGTTCATTCGATATATTTACCCGAGAGCAGGTTTTTATTCAGATCACTATGATGCAAGGGGCACTGTTTCTGTTGATAGCCTCTCTAGCGTAAGTATTTACACCTATATACAGTAAGTTGATTTTTATCATAATTATTGTGTGTCGATAAATAAAATGAAAATGATTATTTTTTAACATAAATTCACCCACCTCATATTTATTTATACAATAAGTAGGAGGAAAAAAGGAATTTAAAAAATATATATAATTTCCTTGTAATTCTAATATTATCTCTGTTACGTGAACTTTTAATTCAGAACCTCTTGTTTATTCCCAATGAACATTAATACCATATTTACAGGTCAAATCCTAATGCCGGAATGGTTATATATTTGATACGACACTTATATATCATACTTTTATTTAGGGGTATTCACGCCGCATCTTTGGATAATGCCAACATAACCGTAACCGTTGTAGGTAGGTTGCTACCATCCAATGTTTTCATACGTGTACTGTGAGTCACATTTAATCTCATATGAATTATTTCACTCATATGACCCTTAGAGGGATAACATCGGTTCTTTTTGACCAAAAAAGAATTTTCTATGGGTAGAGAATAATCGATTAGCGCCGTTTGGGTGGTAAAATAGAATTGATTATATTTCTATGAGTTGTTTACTATGCATTCATTCTGAGATGTGGATGTCATGCAAATATTTTCCATTTAGTGCACAGTGACACCGCAGACTGTTAAAATCATTTCCCCCGAGTACTGCCCGATGACGTTCATAGTTTTGATAGTGTAGCAGTAGGTGTGCTCTCCCTATTATGTGTTCATTCATTTTATTATTGTTTGTACACGTTACTTAGATTTGTCATAGGGCTTAGATGGACACATTCAATCTACTGGAAAAGGTGAAAATATAGAAAAAAAAAAACAGAGCAAAAAACGGCAACGTTCTTGAAGAAATAACATAAGCTAATTTCTTCCTTTCAAGAGATTTGTTCTTTCGACTCGTGCCGAAAGGGAGAAGTCTGTCAGGACTTGGACCAAGGCGGGTTTGTGTGTATATGCGACCCAGCGGCAGTTGACGCGCAGTGCAGCATCCGGCTGACCTGTACCTCCACCTGGGACACCGTCTGTAAGAGCAATTTCGGAACTGAAGCTTGTAGGTAATTGTGCATGCTTGATTGCTCAAGCAAGACTACTGGCATTTTATCAAAACGAGGATTGTCAGCTTTAACATTGCTATCTTGATGTCTTGGTAGTTTTCATATACTACTGTCTTTATTTCTTCACATTTGGCATGGTTAAGAATCGCCAAGTGGTTCTCGTTCTCGTTCAGTGGTCTTATTCGCTTATCAGAAAGCCTAACCAACGGTGAACAGGGAATCAAAACACATGTTGTTGATAACGAGACTTCGCCCCCTTGTCGCAGCACATGTGTCAACTACATCACGCCGTGCCTGTATTCAGGCCTGTATTAGATAGTTTCATCAATGGGACAGTTACAGCTGCATGGATTTATATGCTCTAGATCATATTTGTAATATAATATTATGATTTAATACAATAACCGGTTATTATTTTGATTGTAATTGTATTACATTATAATATTATTTAGAAGGCAATATATCCAATTGAGATTATCATTTCTAATTCATTTCAAATTCATTTATATAAATGTAACCCCTAATGATATTCTGACTTTTTTTCTAGATTTATAATTAAGTGTTTTGTTGCTTCTATAGGTTTTATATTCTAAAATCATTATTAGTCCTTGCACCCTTTAACACACTGAATTCCCGCCTATTCCGCTGTACGGTATTCAGTTCCAGTAAACTTCTGTGTCCGAAAGACAAAATACGCAAGGTCATGTGTTACAGTTTTAGCCAATCTCTGCAATACAATTCAATCTCGCAATAGTACATTGCAGCGGCGATTTTTAACACAGCGGTAGCCCGACTTTGACTTCTTGTGTTAAGAGAATGCCTCATTGCACATGCCACCCTAACGGTTTCACGTCTTCATTTTCTCGTGATTATTATTTCAACGCAATTATTTTCTGGTGACCCGGCATTATCTGTTTGTTTAAATGTTATATTATTTTATAGAATTACTTAATTCATTAATTCTATTTTACACCTTACACCTACATTCATTTATCTTTTTGGCACAATTATCAGCGTGACATTAGCGCACCTTTTTCTATTTAAATTGTCTTTTTTTTATTTTTGATGACGTTAGATTTATTACTGGTACTTGTCAACTGCATATATAACTTTAATTTTCCAGTGTGTGGTGTCCACCAGACTGCCTGGCTGCCGACGGTGTCGACATCTGGGGGACAGGCATTTATACAGGGGTACGGTAATTATTTGGGATTTCTGCTCGGTTCACTTTTTATGCTTTCTAATTTTTCCATGCTTTATCATTTTTGGACACTCGCATCAATCTACAATGTACTACTTGATACGGGACCATCTTACTTTTCCGTTGGTGTTAAGTGTCTCTCTAAGTAAAGTCCTTGTCTGATATATAATAAATCCGTAAACCAAACCTTTATTTTTCATGTACCAAATAGATCACGAATCCCCATTATGAGTAAATATGCAATTTGCCAATAGATTACATATGTAAAACTCAATACAGAATGTTATTATAACATTACCATAGCGTTAATATAACTAAAACGTTATGGTAATGTTAAAATAACGTTTGGTGTTTGCTGGGGTTTATGTAATCACATGTTATATGTAATTGTTATTGACTGCAATAGGATTCCTCTATATGCCGAGCAGCTATTCACGACGGGAAAATGAAGGGCGCCAATGGCGGCGCCTTCGTTTTGGGATACTTGCCAGGACAGGACTCTTATGAATCCTCTCTCCAGAACGGCATTCCGAGCACTGGGTTTGTATGAACTGTTGTGTTCATAGGCATTAGTGGATCATGTCTTGGTAGTGGGGTCAAGAAAACGTAAAGCGACATAAAGGTGAAAGAAATGAGAAAGGAAGAAAAAGTTGCTGGTTAAACGTGGTTTTGGAGGCAAAAACAAACTATAGACAAGAGAAAGAAGACAATTAAGAAAGACTACCATTGCTATAAATTGTCATAAATGTGCTTGATAAATAGCATATCATTAATTTCAGTTTAGGTGATGTCTCGATTGGGTCTGTAATTTTGTGTTTATGTGTTGCTATAACACTTGTTGATAACCATCAGCACATGTTGACACAGACACATTAGCGCAGGGCATACATATACACAGTTGAAAAAATAACCAGAGAGAGAGAGAGAAAAGAGAAACCTTCTGAACGGATGTATTTTTGCAATGATGCTTTCTGTCTTTTAAGTTACGGCGCATGGGATGAATCATTCCATTTCGTTGAGCCTGGCTGCTCTGATGACACCTGTCCTTTCGGGGAACGCTGTAAACCTTTGTCACAAGAAAACACTGTGTGTCTCTGCAACTCCACCCACGCCCACGACGCGTGTTACGTTCCCTTGGATTGTACATCGGACTGGGAGACTGCCTGCAGCCCATTGGTTGGAAAAGGACCTTGTAGGCACGTGTTTGGATATTCTTGTAGACACATTGATCGATTTCTGAAAGTTTGCTCCAAGATATTTATAATTAACTCAGGGAGACAATTTTATTCAGTATAGGGAAAGTTAGAGTGATAAACAGCATTTAGTGTCAATATACTGGTGTAAAATTAAGAAATCAGTAGACAGATTGGTATATACGAGAAATGTAATGACTTAAAAAAGGGGATTTTTTAAAAAATGAAATACAAAAAGCGAAATGCGCAATAGATAGTTTTTGTTTAAATTACTTTTACATTTGATCATTTAGTTTGTTTTATAGTCAGTTACTTCATTACTCGATTGGATAGTACATTTAGAATTCCGAAACCAGTAGATAAATGTGTATATACGAGAAATTCAATTACCTTAAAAGAAAAAAAAATTGTAACATTGAAATGAATTTGAAAAAAGGAAGTAAACAAAGTACATCTATGAAGCTGGTATTTTAATATTATCGTATTGTAAATGTAGGGTATGGTGCCCCTCCGGGTGTCTGAGCATATCTGCTGCTGTGTGGGGATCAGGCATATACACAGGGGTGAGTGTTTATTATTCTCTGTTAATTTATTATTAATAATGAGAAGAATTGGGTCGATTAATTGGGTTATTAGTAAATCGATGAATAACAATCAAAATTAAGTTGATAAATAAGTTAATCAGTTACTTTGGCTAATTAATAGATAATTTAGTTCTATGATAATATATACGATAACGGGAATCAAGCTACCTTGGCGGAGGTCTGCCTTCTCTGAGTGCTTTTCCAGATTTATATATTTTTTATTCTATCTTATTTCATTTTAAATGCATACATATGAGAGTTGTCATCTTTTGCTTGATTCCTGAATAAATATGTTATAGTGACAACAACGACGATCTGGAGCTTCAGATATTTATTCCCCACACACACAATTTTTCACAGAATCTACAAGTATTTATATTCTATTTTCCATTCTCATATTTCCCATTCTCATATTACAAAATTCTATTCAATATTTCCTAATTTAGTAATTTAAATGAGACTTGTTTATGATTAAAAAATATTTAAAATATTTCCCGAAATGCTCATCTTGGATCTTGTCCAACCCGACTATGCATGAGATCTACACGTGTTAAACACGCGCAAATCAGATGAGAAAAATTAACCAATCTGATCCAACTATATCGGACTCTGAAACGTTCCACCCTTTCCTTCTTCGAGAACAGTCTCTACACTCGTTGACACTTTAAGACATTTACTTTGCACTCGATAACTTCCTACACGTCTAATTCTGTTTTAATTGTTTTGTAATTGCCGAAAGTGTATGTCATTTGCTTTACAACAAATAGCAAGTTATACTCTTCCCCGAATTAGTTTCTCTTGATTCCGTTTGTTTGTCTATTCAATCAATTATTCATCAATTTATTTGAACAAGGATTCCAGCATTTGCCGTGCGGGTCTTCATGACGGTCGTCTCGCGCCATCTGGCGGCGTTTTAACCGTTGGGTACGTTCCTGGGAAAGAGGCCTTCATCAGTGTGGCTCAGAACGGGGTCAACAGTATCTCGTGAGTATCACGAACTCATCACGTCCAGTTCACATGTGAAATGAATGACGGGTTCATAGATGCCCTTCAACCTGTGATAATTTTGTCATATTTAATATTTGGATAATGAACATGATGTAAGGACTTAAGCACAGGATGAAAAAGCCTGCGCTATGCTACATAACCAGGTTACGTACTCGACTTTGTAGACTTTAAATTCCTCCAAATATAATTCTAAAGTAATTTGGTTTTATACTAGTGTGTTAAATATTTATTGTCGTTGAAACAAAATGAAGAAAAATAGTAGATCATTGCTGCATCACAAAATTAATAATTAATTAATGGTAAACATGTCCATACATACTCTCATTTTTGACACAGAATGCTCTTTCAGACAGCTTCGAAACAGTCTATTCAAGTATCTTGCTGAAGCCATTATTGGAAGCTGTCAGTCTATTTATTTATTTGTTTATTTATTTATTTTTAGCAGTTGTTTAATTAATTGTTTATTTATAAACATATTTTCTTTCTTTTTTTCTTTTTCTTTTGTTTTTGCATGTAGATATTTTGACATTCGTATACGATATTTCTCATTTCCCATTAGGTATGGTAGCTACGACACCGCCTTCAACTTCCTGAAGGAAGTCAAACCCACGGAGGGCACCCTCATAGGCTGAATATATGTTCGGTAGCAATGTCTTGTCTTTTAAAGCATATATATATATATATATATATATATATATATATATATATATATCAAAGTCTATCAAAAGCATCATGTTTGATATTGCTAAGTGACAGTTGTAAGGACAGAAAAGAAGTGTGGGTTGATATTTCCATGGGAAACTTTTGAACTTAGGAATAAAGCGGATGTATTATTATGCACATTTGTTAAACATTCCTTTTTTTTTTGTTGTTGTTGTCGGGTAACCATTTGAAGAGCATTCTAGGTATTCAATATTGTAAAAGAAATATTCGCGCTGAATTTAATTTTCCTCAGATATTTCTTCTTACTCAAGAACCGTTGCTCACACGGCATTGCACTTGGTACATGTTGTATTTATGTTTTGTACTATTCACCAGTCACATAACCTTCTTCTTATCCAATTATAATTCATTTAATACGCCTTGTCTTGCATAGACTTCAGGCACTTATACTGTATTTAAAATGTTTTATCATTTTAGATCTGACTTTGGGAAGATAAGCTAAGAGAGATTTAATTTTGACAGAAAATATAGCTTTAGGACGTCTTAAACACATTCATGTTATATTGACGCGTACGTGTATATTGCCGGCGACTTTTTCCTTTTTTATTTTTCAAGTTCATTCTATTTTATTTTTTATTTTATTTTATTTATTTTTTGTTATTAGAAAGCCTTCTTTATGTTTGCGATAACATGCAGTGAACTTTGCTATATTTTGTCTGACCGTTTCATTTTGACATTTAACCTCAATCAGCTTACTGTTACTCATAAAAATCAAAGTTTTCTCAAAACAGGCACAATTCGGAATTATTTAAGAGACTGAAAACGCGTTATACACGTTTTTTAAAAAGATTTTACATGAAACGCAACTTGCGGTTAGCCGGCTAAGTCTCTGAGTAGTTTTTTGTTAGGACCTATAACCATTGTCGGCCTTGTTGTGTTGCGAAACTGGCCTTAGGTGGTTTATTTAGGAGGGGTTAAAAGTTGGGTTCATAAATGGGGGTAAGTAACAGCCAACAGTTGGAACTGTTTGTCTTCATATAAAATCCATGGCTGTGAGGCAAATTTCAGCGAGAAAAGGGAGGGGACGCATTATCTTAGGATACGGTGAACTGAAGTGAAAACGAGGTCATGCTCGTGAAAGTGCGGGGGGCAGCTCTACATGACAGCCACTCATTTAATTTGAAAATGGAATAAAAAATCAAAAAGAAGTGCAGAAATTGATCGAGATGCTTTAGGGAAATGACGAAACACCGAGATTCAAAGGGCGTGGAACTTGCCCCCTCTCCTCCCCTTGGCGGTTTAAACAAGACAAAGAAATCGTTTACTTGCAAAAGCATCGGAACAATTTATTTTCTTTAAATTCAAAGCAAAAAAATGAGAACAGTTGGTATATTTCACCTAGTAAGTTACCCTGTTGGTTACGAAGTTGCACAGTTCATCACTAGTTAATTCAAAATAAAGTCATGACGTCAGCAACACGAATGCACACCGTTAGATGGCGTTAAAATCAGAGATTTTTCCTTTATAATTTGCCTTTGTATTTGAAGTCCTCTGTTGGGATGTGGTTGGCAAGCCTAAAACGACATAATTGAAAATGGAATTAAGTAAAAATAAACAACTGAATTGAATGACGCTAATGAAACAAGACAACCGCAGTATCTTTTATAGCAAATCTTAACATTGTATAAATACCACGAAAATTATTAGCAAGCCACAAGTAAAATTGATTTTAAAAAAACGTTAAAGGAATGAAACATAAGGAAAACTGAGCAAGTGTATTGCTAGCTGATCACGGTATTTGCATTGAAGAGTAGTAATAATAAATAGGTTTAGTAGATTATTTTACTTTCAAAATATTGGCCTGATGTGACACTGCTTTCAGTTTGCTTCTTTTTAATGCTGTTACAAACAGGTAGGTGCATTTCATACCGTTCATTAGGTCTCTTCGGAACATAATTACAAATATATCTATTTTTACATTATCATTTTTTTCCTATATCAAGTTATAAAATAAGAAATATTCATATTTGTCACGATACAAGACAAGCGGTTGAACTCACCAAGCCATGTATCCTTGTAACATAATACAAATAGATTTCTTCACCTTTTATTTTTCTACATAAAGTTACAAAATGAGAATTATTCATTTTTATCCCGATACAAGACGAGCTATTGAACTCACCATTCCATCCCGTCCTTGAGGTCTTTTTGTGGCACTGGGGAGCGCCACCCCCTCATGGTGTCCATGAAGCTGTTATGGATGTCGGTATGCTCCTTGGTGTTGACATAATTGGATCTGATCATCTGACCCTAGAATGTTGACATCTATATATAAGTAAGGGCGTGCATAACACGGTTGAATGGAAAGGCAGGGCTCCAATTTGAGTTTAAAAGACGTTATTTCTTCAACAAATTTGTATAGTATATTCCTTGGTTATATTATTAAACGTTCTATGACTTAAACGTGAAACCAGTGACGGTTAAAGCTGGTGACCTGCCTCTCCCGTGAACCAAACGGAGGCGCCACTTTTCTAGTTAATGGTATTTATGTATAAAACTGGAATTCAGACATTGTCATAGAGGGCATTTTCTATAGATAAACCACAGCGAATGTTTTAAAAAATAATAAACATAAGTGTATTTTTCTGTTTGGTGATGTCCCTAATTATCGTATTCCAACTGGACAAAATAGCTCGAATAATTGCAGATGTTTATAGCTTTGCTCGTTTTAAATGTTTGATACGGAGAGGTGAAAAAACACGCATGTTAAATACCTACGTAACAGATCGTAATGTAAGTTCTAGGCAGATTATAAAATTGAAAAAATAATTCTATTTATGCTATTGCTGTCGGTCCTGCCTCGCAGAGAAAAACTTTACCGATTAAAAATTAACAATCCATAAAATAATATTTTCCCATCGCGTATCACTTAACATGGCACTTTTATTTGCCATGCAATCAATTACACTATTAACTGATGAGCTATCCTTACTTACCTGCTCATCATGAAAATGAAGAGTGAACACCTCAATCGCAGCATTGAGTTGCGTTTGAGTGTTGAACTCGGAGAGAGCAAACAGACCATTGAAGAGCGTTCTGTGCTCACTGTCAATGTTGTCATACTGAAAATAAAATATTTTCAATTTTTATACCTTTTAGTTATCTTCTGATGCGTCAGATTTAATGAAATGATAATTATTCGCTACGTAAATACGCAATAAAATTCTGTTGCCAAGGTAATACCAGATGGACACTAAGATAATCTCGTCGGTGCCACAATGGGACTCACGGCGAAAGTTAGGCCTAAAGTTAAGACCGAGAATTGCACCTCACTTTGATCCCAGCTTAATTAACAGTAGTCTGCGTTTATGATAAGATATAAAATGGCTAGAATGTTAATTCGTTATTTTGTTTTAACCGGCGTCTACCTATTTAACTTAAAGCTCGCCTCACATGATAACTTTATCCAGAAGATTGATTGAACTTTTAAATAAAAATTTTAGTCTGCGATGCCAGGCCTACCCAACTACCAGACTCGGCACATAAGGATCCTGAATTAACCGGTATATCGGACCACACTACCCGTTTTCAAGGTGTGTGTCAGATCGCATTTCGGAGTATCAGTCAGAACACCGACAGGATGAGCCCACGCTCGGCTGTCACCTTGATTGGATAGTAAAAGATTGTCGTAAAATCGCTATATGATTTTAAAACCGGGTGCGTAAATTTGAAAACCGCCTAGAACAACCTAAGACTGCTACATTAATCTAATACAATGCAAAAAAGCCCTATCTAAAGTGGTTAAAGCATTCAAACCGAATGTCGTAAAGTCCCCATATACCCCCACAGAGACAATAAAATAGAGCACTCTAAAGTTAAAGTACAGTGTAAGGTTGTTCTAGGTGGTTTTCAATTTTATGGACCCGGTTTTAAAATCATATCGTTTACTATCCAGTCAAGGTGACAGCCGAGCGTGGATGAGCCCGCGATCGTCCTACAAAATTTGTTCTGGGGTGTGATACTCCGAAATGCGATCTGACACACACCTTGAAAACGGGTAGTGTGGTCCGATATACCGGTTAGTTCAGGATCCTTATGTGCCGAGTCTGGTAGTTGGGTAGGCCTGGATCCCACGTAGTTTCAATGTTATATACTCGTGAATTAGTCTTAAGTTTTATGAGATGTTTTACGAACATATATCCAAAGAAATCGTTAAGTAAAATATTAGCATTTAGCCTCGTATACTGGATAAAGAACACTTAATTATTGTTACACTTAGAAGTGTAAATGTAAGCTACTCACGGTGGTTTTGAAATCCGGGGTCCACGCGTAGGGCACTGGGATTTTCATGGTGATCGGATAACTCTCTACTCTCCAAGTAGTAACAGGCAACAGTGGAATTCTTGGCTGTGAAGATAGTGTCTTCAGACCGCGACTTTTTATACACACCCAGGGAGGGAGATGACTTGCAATTCAACTTGAGGTGCGCGCCTCATTAGTCTTCCAGTCATGGAGCAAGTGTTTTACCACATGGGTACATATGGCGTGATGTAATTGTACGTGAGACACGTAATCACGTGTTTTGTCTATTTAAGTTTAAACGATAAAATGTGGGTTTGATCATTGATCGATTGACTGATACATCGATAGTCTAGGCTGTCTAGGGAGGGCGGAAAAGTGGGGTATACTCTCGTCACTCAAGTCTCGGTAATGTGTGGAACATTTTGGGGTTCAATACACTGGTCAGTCAGCCTAGTGATAATGGGAAAAAATGCTGAAATTTCCTTCTTTATGTGTATATTTGATTGAATGAATTATAAAATTAATGTTACTTATTTCATTAATGTCGATAGGAGACCGTAGTATATTTCTTTTGTTTTTTGTTATTATTATTATTATTATTATTATTATTATTATTATTATTATTTTAACGTTTTACCTCATGTCCAATGTCAGATACCCCAAATATGACTTTTTGCCTTCGAATGTGACGAGTTCGTACAGGAAGTAAACTATAACGCTAATGTGCACAAGTAACAAGCTAAGGTGCATTTGTTTATTTGTTAATGTTTATGTATTTATGAATTTAGCAGCAACAATGCGATAATATTTTCCTTAGGATGGTTGAATCAGTTAACGTACTTATTTATTTCGTTGTCTCTATGGCCTAACTGAAACAGAGGAAAAAGAGAAATATTAAATGATACTTAAGTTCATTTATCCTTTCCTTTTTTATCCTGACCAATCAGTGTACCTTAAAGGTTGGTTAAGCTGTAAACCCACACCTGATGTGTTATAACGCGTACCTTTTTGAATCTATAATTCTCCCTCAACTTGAATGGATTTAATTAAACAGAAATGTCTGATTACTTTTACATAACTCTCACGTACTACACAGATGCTAAGTCCACGTTGCCTGTTCAGTAATTACCCATAACGGTGATGAGACGCTCACGGGTTTATTATAGTTTTAAAAGAGGATTTGTGTCTGAAATCTGCACGTATTATTGTCTCACGTTATCAGACACTTCGCCTCAGCATATGGCGAACTCATTGTCCGCTGTCTGGTTTACAAATGAGCCGCGACAATTTCTCACCTGATGAGGTGAATTCACCTCGCCTTAGTGTATAAAATGAGTGACTGGCGATCGCATCTTTACAGTCGCTAAACTCATAGTTACTTTTAGCTTGAAGTTGACAGTTTCTCCCATTTTTCCAAGATGGTTAAAGTGCCGGTGCCGTTTGCCTGGAACGAAGATTTCGCTACCAGCGTGAGTACTTACTGTGTTTTTAGGGCTCATTCCCATTCAAATTATCGGTTTACGTCGCTAACTCCACAGGGACTCTCACTAAATGCAATAAGATTAGAAGATTGACAAACCATCTCCTTGCGTTGAGTAGAAAACAGAAAAGCTGCCGATGATACGTTGGAAACTGATTGCATTCAGCGACAATCCCCTCGGGGTTGGCTAGAACTTTGTATGCATACAGTTTAAATGGGAATAAGCCCTTAGTTTAGTCCTGAAGGTTTTGTTCTTGTCGGATACATCCGCATTACACCTGTTAGCAATGTATACATTTAAATAATAATTAAGCCCCCATCCTCAGGGCATTTTTATCCGTGTGTCTTAAAATAAATTATAATTAAAGAGAAGAGCAATATACTGTTGTCATTAAACTGTGCCCAATTAAACAAAAAACCTGTAAAATGTATCCGCCGTGATAGTAGCGGTTCAATGAAGTAGAACAAGTCTTTCGTCTTCTAATAATAATAATATTAAGTTGGACAACTATAACTCATGGTCCAATAGCATTTGTTTCATTCGTGTGGCAGTTAAAATAATTATCAATTTCCAACCAAGTAGTAATTATCAATTTCCAACCAAGAATAAGTTTACAGTCAGTTTTTATATGCAAATGATGAAGGGTGCATGTATTTTGTGAGTTAGGAAATGACTAATCCCTGTTCAGTAGTAGCATTTTATGGTAAGTGAAAATAAAAGAAATGCATGTAACCATGCACCATGCAGTATCAGGGCAAAGGATGACATAAAATAGGTTTCTAAAAAAAGGTTATAAGTTATCGCACTTTTACCTTTGCATGAAGAATAATATAAGTCTCTTTCACTAAATACAAATCGTAGTAAAAAGCACACCACTGTATGTAGCAATTTACTTTTTGTTTCAGTATCGACTTATCGACTTGGAGCACAGAACGCTCTTCAACGGACTGTTTGCCCTCTCCGAGTTCAACACTCGCGACCAGCTGTTAGCTTGCAAGGAAGTCTTTGTGATGCATTTCCGTGACGAGCAGGTAAGTTGATATTCTGTACAATCGGTTTCTTGTTGCTTTAATAGTACTAGACCTATAGTATGGTGAATAGTAGTAGTAGTAGTAGTAGTAGTAGAAGTAGTGGCAGTAGTAGTAGTAATAGTAGTATTAGTAGAAGTACCAGTAGCAGCAGTAGAAATAGTAGTAAAAGTGGCTGAAAACCACATAGGGGCCTATCTTACATTATTCATATAATTAAAGACGTGTTCCTTTTCTTTATTTAGGGTCAAATGGAAAAGGCCAATTATGAGCATTTCGAAGAGCACAAGGGCATCCATGAAGGGTTTTTGGAGAAGATGGGCCACTGGAAAGCGCCTGTCGCCCAGAAAGACATCAGATTTGGAATGGAGTGGTGAGTCTCAGTACTATTCTCTCGTCCTCACTCTCTTAGACGGTGCAAAAGTAATAACTTGCACATGAGTGACACCCCCTCTTTCTCTCTCTCTCTCTCTCACACACACACACAAACCCACACACACACACACACACCGTTAAATTAATCAGGTCATCTCAAATGAAAAATTCAAAGGTAAAAAATATCTGTATCATTCCATATGCCCATTAGTTTGTATTACCTTTCTTGGAGTATCTTGAAATATTTCCCATATAAGAAGTTTCTGATATATATATATATATGATTACTTTAATTGTAAATAGAATTACAACTTCTAGCAGTTATATAGTTATATGAGAAATCAAATTCTGTAAGACCGAATCTTTTTGTGTTCTTGATGAATTGCTGGTAATGCAGTTACTTCCCTGGGGCATACAAAGGTTTGTGGGGTCCATGAAGACAGTTCTATAGGGCTTGGCGCTAAACATACATAACTGATGTGCATGAACATTTGACTCAGGTAAAGGATTAACTTTCCAGAAAGAGGGGTATCTGGTCTATAAGCGCGTCCTAATATATATATATATATATATTTTTTTTTTTTTGAAAATTTGACAAGAGTTATTTGTTTATTTGTTTTATTATTTTAGGCTTGTCAACCACATCCCAACTGAAGACTTCAAGTACAAGGGCAAATTGTAAATGGAACGAACGGAACAATGCGCCATCTATCGGACTATCGGACTGTAAACCATACGCAGGAACGTTGGAATAGTCAACCTATAAACAGTTCACTCTAGGAGAGATACGTTACGAAGTTACACAGCCTACAACAACACTGCCAATTTTATCATTTGCTTATGATTTAAGAACAATAAAAAGCTTCCATTGCAATTGATCATGACTCTCTTTATTTACTTTGCCTGTGCCAGCGCGTTTATCCATATGCCTACAAGAGCATGGAACTAGAGTGACTTATGCATCGGTAATAAACACACTCAAGCACACACACAAAGAGAGAGAGAGAGAGACATATATGGTTGAGCTATAGAGGTAAAAAAAAATATATATATATATATATATATATATATATATATGCTGTCAAAATTTCGCCAGGGCGCGTGAGTTGAAAGGGATAACAACTGTTCATTTTGGCAAAAAAAAAAAAAATTCACCTGGGGTAAAGGACAATTTTCCCATATTTCCTAATGGATAATGAATCCCTTTCCTCATTTAAAGTTAGTCCTTTTTTCTAAAAAGTTTGGTTTTTAAGAGAATATTACAAAATGTAGCCATCTATGGAGGTCACGTGATGTGATGGCAAGCATAAACTCCAGAATATATGCATTAACTGCCGTTTTTGTGTTAAAATAGACTTTATTATATTTCTGAAAGTTGTTTACAATGTATCGTGAAATATGGATATCTTACGAACAGTTGTTGTTCCTTTCACGCAATTTTCATGGTTATGATAAAGAGTACATGTACTTTCCATGCTCACCTGTACCAAGGAAACCTTGTACAAACAAAGATATATGAAGCAAAAAGAAAACAGAAAATATTCAAGTTACGATATAAGTAATGGTCAGTATCGTTAACGCCAAAAGGTAAAATAAAATGCGAATATTGATAAAAAAAATAAAAGTGTGTGTACGTGTGTGTGTACTTGTCCGTGCATTTGGACATTGAAATTTTTTTTATTTCTACCTCAAACTGGACACTCAGAAAACCGAACCAAAATACCTCGATTGATAAACCAAGAAAGAGTTCAGGTGTTCTTTAGTATTAAATGTACCTTTTCTCAGTTTAATCTATGTACCAAAAGTGATATTAATTCATAAGGTGTTTACTTCCAAAATGCTACTGTGTTAATAGATTAAAGTAGATTTAAAATGTACCCATGTTTGTTATAAAAGCATATGTGATGCTCTTAATACATGTATTTCAAATTAAACATCTCATTCCAAATACAAAAGGCATTGCCCACTATTTGATCTACTCGTCTGTACATGCAGGTGGAGTTATGACTCCCTGTTATTGTCTCTTACATTTGGAGAAACACGTGGAGTAGATTATTAAAAAAAACTGGCTCGAATGATGCACTTTTGTAGTTATCAGTAAGACGGATTTTTTAAATTGCTGTGTTGCAGAAATTGGATATTTCGTATAGGACAGTATAGTACCTGAGTGACCTCCGCATTATGGTACATAAGTGGCATCCGTATTTTGGTAACTGAGTGGTCTCCACAATCCTCAGGAGTAACCCCACACAATCCCAGATCAGCATTACTCAAGAAAGTTTGTAGTGCTATAACAAATTGACAACTATATCCATAGAATTCAAGTGTGACCTCAACAGAACAGAGCTCATTTGGAACTAATTCTATATGTAATGGTTAAATGTTTACCAATATAGCTAGTGACATATTGCTTGTAACAGTCGATTTACTACCTCTTATATCCTTCAGAAATACATGTCGGTTGCGTATACTTTGTAAACAGAAATACACGTCTTTGGGTTACATTAATTACTGGGACTTCCTGTACTTTTAATTTTTCTCTATACATTGGTTTGTCCCCTGCAATCCATATGCTTATATGAAGTATATGAATACATGGATTTTGCTTTAATTCTTTCAAAATTTTAAAGCAAAAAGGTCCCCCGTGTTCCATAGTAGCAGGATTATGACATGTTATTGTGACCAAATTAATTGGAAATATTTTTCACCCCTTCGATCGGAGCATTCTGGGAGTTAAAAAAGTAATTTCATTTTTTAATATATTAATTATGACATGTTTTATTTATGGAGATAAGTTTAGGAGCTTATCCAAGTACTATGGAATTGTGAATTCTGTTCGAAAACTTACTCTGAACTGCTGTATTGTAGTATATGTACTGAATGTACCAAAAAGGTTTATGTTTGAAAACGTGTCAATCAGGTTCCTATCTGGTTATCATCGTTACCCTTCAAATACAGCTTTCCATTTATATATATCGCTCTATTCATTGAAATTAAATCAAATTATTAAACAATATACTACAACTAAAAACGCTTTTTTTCACAGATATTTTAATTTAGTTCAAAGTGATAATTTATTGTTTTGTAAACAAATGTATTAATGGAGTAATAGATGAATTTCACTCGACGTTTAATTATCGTTGACCAATAACAACTGAAAAATCATCCTTCGTTGACACATAACAACTTTTTAATTGGCTTGCATCAAAACCGTTTATTGTTCTCAAACAATAAGTTAATTACATTTACATCTGTAACTCTTTTTATCCTAATAACATCATGCATAAGTCCATTAAACAGTGTTTGGGTAAATGACTCCAATTTGGTCTAAATGGCAGCAATAAAGGCCGATAGGTGGCGCATTAGTTCGTCTGCTCTGTTTATAATTTGCCCTTGTACTTGAAATCCTCCTTGGGGATGTGGTCGACAAGCCTGAAATAAAAAAAAAACAATTTTTGTTTAATTTTTCGGAAAATTTAACTTTAACAAATTACAGCTTCAAATATATTTATCCAACAATTTCAAAAATGTGTCTATTTTCTTTCTCCTAGATCTTTACACAAAAGCTAAGGAAAGATAGAGAGTGAGAGAGATGCAGAAGAGAGTGGGAGACTCACCACTCCATTCCAAATTTGATGTCTTTCTGGGCAACAGGCGCTTTCCATTGGCCCATCTTCTCCAAAAAGCTTTCATGAATGCCCCTGTGCTCTTCGAAAAGTTCAAAGTTGGCATTCTCCATTTGGGTCTAGATAAAAAAGGACACCGTTTTTTGTTAGATGAATTTTAAAAGAAGAAATACTTTTTTTTTGTCGCTTTACTACCTACATTTACCATTACATAAACCTAACAATAATTAAAATATACTATCGACCCATGATGAATAGTCTTTTGTATGAACTTGCCTGCTCGTCACGGAAATGCATCACAAAGCACTCCTTGCAAGCTGCCAGCTGGTCGCGAGTGTTGAACTCGGAGAGGGCAAACAGTCCGTTGAAGAGGGTTCTGTGCTCCAAGTCGATGTTCTTATACTGAAACAAAAATTAGTACATAGCAATATGGTTTCCATTTCGATTTGCTAAGTTACGCCATTCGCAAAAGATTTCCTTGCGATAACACTTTCCCTCTTTAGTCTTGCTTATATCCGCATATGCGTCGCACGATGAAATTATAGGCAATTTTCAGTACTGTCGGATGAAAAGTATTTGTGCAAGTAAATAACTCAATGATTTAAACACCTTTACTGCTGTCATGCCCCCTAAATCCAGGCAATGGTGGAATAGAACTAAGAACTGGATTAAACATTACGATCACGATCTTAGCAATTTCACCGAACGATGTCCGTAGAGAAACTATGCGACGCCATAAACAACGTCCTACGAGCTTACGATTTAAAAATAGTTTAGTTTAAACATGACAAAATCGAAGAGGCCACAGAGGCCAAGAATCAGTACGGTCTCGTAAGAATTCGCACGGCCACCGCCTAACTCCGCACAGACGCCGCCGAGAAATATACATGCACCGTAAAGGCATTAAAAGTATACTAAATACACTGTACTCACGCTGGTGGCGAAGCTCTCATTCCACGCGAATGGCGCTGGGATACCCATCTTTAAAAGTAGAGGTGGTTGTCTGGCTCAAGTAACAGGTAACTGTAAGTTCAGCGTCTGTGCATATACAGCTTCGCGCTCTTTTATTTATACCCGGCTTCAAGGGGAGTTCATCCTCATCAGGTGAAACCTTCACGGGTCGTTAGCATCGGGGACAGCTGGACACCATGAAAAAAAGCCTGCTACGTGATTAGATTGATCACGAGATCAGTTGTTCGGCGTCAGGACACTTCATGATTACTCGTGGGTTGATTTATTAATCAGGGCAATGTATTTACCGGCTGAGCTGTAACCCGAAGGACGCTTTCAAGGTCAAATTTAAGGTCGCAGATTGAAATTGGGATCAACAGAAATTAGCACACTATGTAAACTGAGCAAACATCAATCTGTATTTCCAAATGCATACTTTTCATCCCCGAACTCATTTACTCATTTATTTTAAAATATAAATATTCTCTCTTGTTGTTCGAAATCCATGTATTCTATTATTATTACTTGTGATGGTTCATGTAAATGTAATAAAAGTACCTGTCACCCTCTCTATACACTGCCAGCATGCCTGTATATTAATAAAGACTCCGTCTGATCTTTCATTTATTCACTCATCTCTAGCTTTACTCATAACATTTACATCTGATTTCCCTTCCTTCCTTCATTCTTTCATTACTTGTCTATTTGTTATGTTATTTAAATTTATAATATATTGGATTTAGTCGTATATAATTAATCCTCTGACTGTGCTTGTCCCGCAATATTGTTTTATTCATTTTTCATCTTTTGTGCGACAGTCAAGTGATTTTAGTAAAAAAAAAGAAATAAAGGTGCGGTTTTTGATTCACTCAGAATTGTTCACCAAATACATGTATCTTGATGAAAAAGCTACACCTGCAGGTGAATAAATGTGTTCATACCGTATTTATACTGACATATCTGCAAACATAGGTATAACAATCAACGCTTTATTTAACTTAAAGCAGCCCGACTTAATTAACTATAGAAATACGCATTGGAACGCATGGGTTATAATTAATTGAACTTTGTTCATCAACAAAACACCTGGCTCAAATAATCACTTTCCAAAATCTTTCTCATCTGTTGCACGTGCTAAGTGATTTTTCGCTTGTTTCCAGTGAGGCGTATCTTTTTGGCCGGGTTGGGTCAAACGCATTCAGGACACGGGTGTATAAAAGTCGACCCCTGCCACTACGGCTCTCAGACGCTGAATCTACTGTAACCTACAGGCACGCTGAGTACAGAAGAATCCTCTGCCAACATGAAAGTCCCCGCGCCATTTTGCTGGACCAAAGATTTCGCCACTGCGGTGAGTATAACAAGTAGACTTAAAGCATATTTTAGTGTGTATTTAGTGTGCGGATAATATTGACTCAAACTCATTCTCACCCTCTCCTTTTCTCAAACCTCTCTGTGCTAACTGAAAAATTAAATTTATACGCCGGAACCTAGACATCCAAAAGTAGTCTATAGTATCATTATTACAAGTAGTTACCTGTGTTTAATTTGTGTTTCTATTTCATATTTTTAAACACGTTGTTCTGTACCGTAAATATAAAAGGCTTTGATAAAAGAATAAATGCATTCGCCAGTAAGGTTTAATACCGAAGCTAACACATAACACTGATCTTGACCTTAATTGTTGAATCTCCATAACGTGGATTCTTTTTACTCTGGAATGAGCTGAAACTTTGCCCACATCGTCTTACTAGAATATTCCTTTAACTCGAACAGTACTTCCAACCCCATAATGTCCAAGTAATATGGCATCTTCTGACCGCGAAATATATAAATACAACATTGTTTTCCATAGATACATTTTATTTTGACACGTGGTAACTCTTTCGACTAACGCTAAATGTTAAATTGTGTTTGTGTTAGTCTACAAGGAGTCCCTCAGTATCTTTTCAAGCCATATTCATAATTGCCGTGTACATGTACTTTATGTTTACAAATTTTGTTTAAAAGTCTAAAATGATAAATGTTGAAAACCGTTAACCACACGTAATGTGCCAACTTTGTGCAAGTCGCCAGAAAAAGCATAACTCCTTGAGGAATAACTCATACCTTCTGAAACAACAGGGAGGCTTCTTTTGGCGGTAATAAGACTAATCTAAAAGGTCTGCGTCCTCTGCTGAGCAGTACTCAATAGCGCTCTCCTGGATTTCCTTTGTATTGCTAATAATTGTATTTGTAACGGTCAAGGTCACAAAAGAAGTTTCGTCATATTGACTACACCTATTGGCTGACCAACCCACTGCATCGATAGGTTAAAAAAATACTATTTATATGTTCAAATTAGGGCATGAAACACGAAGATAAGGGACCAAAAAGTGATTGCTTTTCAGGAATTGCAACATTCCCAGTATTTTACACGCAAGAATGGAAAGGCATGTTCATTTCTAAACGTATTTTCTGTCCGACCTTATGGACTATTTACGTGAAAGATTTTAAGTGGATTTTTATGTGCAACCTTGTATGGCACTAAATATTCTAAACTAACATTGTACATTGAGTATAAATTTGTTCTCTTTTTGTGTTTAGCGATCCAATTTATTTACTGCATTATATAAATATCTGTTTATTTCAGTATGAGAACATTGACAGTGAGCACAGGACGCTCTTCAATGGCCTGTTTGCTCTCTCCGAGTTCAACACCGCCGCCCAGTTGAATGCTTGCATTGAGGTCTTCTCACTTCATTTCCACGATGAACAGGCAAGTTTTTTTTTTAATATTTGAAATATAACCTTTTATAAATGAAAACAAATTCAATACCTCAAAAAGGTTCCCAACTTCATGAAATAATTCTTGTTCACAGGGTCAAATGAAGAGAGCCAACTTTGCAGGAACTCAGGAGCATACTGACATCCATAATGGTTTTATGGACCAGATGAGAGGATGGAATTCTCCAGTCACCCAGAAGCAACTGAAGGATGGCATGGCGTGGTAAGCTTGTTATCTTTTTAAGTGAGAAAATTAAATTAGTTCCAAGAAACTTTAAGGCGTCAAAATTGCAGTTTTAAATTGGTAGAATTATACAATAGAGAAACATTGTTGCAGTCACTTTTATTTTTTAGTATACACTATTGCAATATTCAATTGTTTTAGACCAAGATCAATAAGTAAATAAAATAAAAGTCAACAATGGACATCTTACCTATCCCTGCACGCATATCTTTTGCACTAAAATGAATGTTCATTGACATCCTTTAAGTCCAATAACAAGTGATTTGTTGTTCCCATCTCAAAGTAATTATTAAGATCTGTGATTGATTTGTGTCAAATATCTATTTTCTTTCAAGGCTCTGCAACCACATCCCCACTGAAGATTTCAAATACAAGGGCAAGTTGTAAACTGGAAATGACTGACTTCTACGCCATCTATCGGATTGCATCTGTTCTGTTGACGTCATATCCTCTCTACGTGTATGTCAATATCTGTAAATGTATATGCAGAATATATGGGGATTAAATGTATCCTCAGCTTTACTTCAATCTGTTTGTCAAAATGAGTATAATAAATGGCGCCTAAATTGTGTTATTGGAGTATTTATTGTTTTTCATTTGTTTTCTTCCATCGTGATATAGGCCTATACTACGTGCAATCTTCAGAAAGACGTACGGTGCGCTTATCTTACTCTTTAATTCTTCCATTGAAATAACAGCGTTCACTCTCTTTTCTTGTGATATTAAGTAGATCCATGCTGTATGTTGATGTTATGTATCGCTTGGACGTTGTTCTTTCAAAAAATAGATGTATAAACAAATGCATAAAAATAAAATTGATAAGTAGATGCATGAGGAATGAATAAAATAAGTTGAAAATGTTTATGAAAATATTTGCACACAAATATAGTGTACACAATATGCATAAATAAAGTATTTAATAAAGTTGTATTTAAAGTAACAGAAACAAGAATGTCAAATCAAAATTAATATGCATTTTAATTGTTACGTCCAAATCGGACATTTGTACAGTGCTCCTGACTTAGGACGAATAACACGTCCAATTTCCACCGCGCAGTTTTACTTTCTGATCTCATCATCCATCGAGCATAATTAAATTGTGGGATATTTCGATTTGTCAAGAAGAAAACAGAAAAGCTGGTGATTACACAAGTACATTGTGTGTTAATCTGTTACTCTGATTGCATTCAGCGAGAGTCTCCGCGGACTTAAATCGACCTGGTGCGACAGTTTCATTGTAAACACACCCTAATTGTTATGAATATGAATACCTCTGGTGCTGGAACTTACATTTGGCAATTAACTGACCGATGTTGCGGTCTCAACCGGTGACCCTTTACTAGGTAAATAACCTGGATGTACTGGTCGATCACCTGACGTATTATCTATGGACTAACTCCATTCACTCTTTTGCACCCTAAATGTGTTTCATATAGGTGCTGACGTTCCAATTTAGCCAACTATCGACAGCTGTCTAAGCTCCCAAAATTCTTCAAAGATATGCAACATTTTCTCAAGACACGGCGGTTCAAAACGTCTTTAGGTCCTATGTTAAAATGAATTGAACGAAATAAACATAAACGGAGATTGTTTTTGAGCTTAAAAGATTAGTGTAACTTAAACACTACTTAAAATGTACAAGTTAAAATAAAACATAATGTTGATCAAAAAATACAACAATATCAGATTTTTCTTTTCCAAATTTATATAGATGATATACTTAGCAACCATTATCTTTTTATACATATTTGTTGATAAATATGTATTCCCTTATTTCTTCTCTACAAAAAATTCACTATTTCTTTATTTCAATATTTTTGAATTTTTTGAGCACTCTACAAAGAAGTAAAAAATCATCTTGTAAAGATCGACAACGTTTACATCATGTTCTGAAATCTTACATTTCTTTAAGTATATTCCTGTTGGATAAATTATACTATACAAAACTTAGTAGCAATGCATGCCACTCAGACTCTACTACGGATAAAATGTTGTAGTTGGGGGCACATTCATTGCACAACCAGCTAATAACACTTTTTTTTTCAGGTCATTGGCCCTATCGTGTA